CAGGTAGAGTCTGTTATTGTTATAGTTTCACATCCTTATTAAATAGAAAATGTGTTTTTATTAATAAATTTACATTTATGAATTTAAAATTTAAAATTAACAAGTTCGTTATAAAAAAGCCTGTTCTTCATCGCTTTATTAGTAAAAAATAAAATCGTTTTTTTAAGTCTCGCGATATTTCACGTCACCGTCTGTGACCCCTGAACCAACGCGAGACTTCCGTACAAACACTGATGGTGTCTCCCTGAGCTCCATGTGGCTCCACAGACCTGGAAACCAGTTTAACCATTAGTTGAACTTGTTTCATCTCATCTGTAGAACTCTCCGGACTGTGTCGGGACTCTGACAGGAGCTTCAGAAGGAAATAAAAATGCAACACGACGACGTGAGTGCCTTCAAGTAACTGCGAAGATGCTAACGTGCTGTTAGCCTCCACGCTAACGTTAGCTCACCGGTATCTGAGTGAAACGGAGGCTTTTTAATAATTTTATTGATTAACAACCTGATCATTGATCTGTGGTTAAAAGATAATGATTAGATACGATGATTATAAATTATAGTTTAAAAGTCTGCTTGTCTTTTAAGACAGACTGTTCTTCTCAGAGGAAGCACCAAACTACTAATAAAATATTTAGTAATTATTTGTAATGGTGTGTGTTTAATACACAATTTACAATTAAACTTAAAACTTTGTTGAAACAGTTAGAAACTTGTGTGAAATTTAATTCGGGGATATTAACTTTCATCATATTTTTAACTTTACTTTATAATAAAACTTTAAGTTATTCTCAGGCTGTAAATCCTTGTTGTTTTCACTCAGACATATTATAATCTGTAATCTGCAGGTAATCTGGGACATTGTTGGAAACAAACAGTTCTGCTCCTTTAAAGTCAAGTAAGTTTGAAACTGAAGCTTTGATTATTTGTTTTAATAAATTTGTGAAACTAAAAACTTGTTACACACACAGAGTTTTGTTGCCATTTTAAAAGGTATTTGTTGTTACATTTGTAATAATCACAAAAACCTACAGTTTTGTTATAAATAGATTAAGGGTTTAATGCTTCATAATGTTTTATTTAATTAAAACCTAATTTGTGGCGGTCTCTCCCACACCGTTTTAAAGACTAAATGTGTCACAAAGCTTTTAAACAGCAGGTGAAGCTTAGACCAACTTAAATCCTGATAAATGAGGCCGACCCGTGTCTGACGTGGATCTGTGTCCGGCTTCGTCTCTTCAGGACCAAGAGTCAGAAATTCTGTCGGAACGAGTTCAACATCACGGGTCTGTGTAACCGCTCGGCCTGCCCTCTGGCCAACAGTCAGTACGCCACCATCAGGGAGGAGAAAGGTGAGGCCTGATGTGGTCCTGAGGGGCAGGTGAGACCACCGGAGCTGAGCTGCTGTGTGACGCTGAGGTCTCTGTGTTTCAGGACAATGTTTCCTCTACATGAAGGTGATCGAGAGGGCCGCGTTCCCCGCCAGGATGTGGGAGAAGGTCAGAGCAGCTGCTTTTATTAAACACAACAAACGTGTCTACCTGTTCACATGAGTTACTCAGGTGTGTGTGTGCGTGTGTGTGTGTGTGTGTGTGTGCAGGTGAAGCTCAGCAGGAACTATGAGAAGGCTCTGGAGCAGATCGATCAGAACCTGATCTACTGGCCTCGCTTCATCCGACACAAATGCAAACAGCGCTTCACTAAGATCACTCAGTACCTGATCCGCATGAGGAAGCTGGTCCTGAAGAGGCAGTGAGTTCTGAGAGCACGGGTCAGAACCGGCCCCGCCCACCTCCAGCCTTAACGTTTGTGTTTGTGCCGCAGGAGGAAGCTGGTTCCTCTGAGCAGGAAGGTGGAGAGCAGAGAGAGGAGGAAGGAGGTGAAGCTGCAGCTGATGGTTCAACTGATGAGTGTGTGAAACCTGCTGACCACTTCCTGTCCTCCACAGGAGAAAGCTCTGATCGCGGCTCAGCTGGACAGCGCCATCGAGAAGGAGCTGCTGGAGAGGCTCAAACAGGGAACGGTAGGAACGCTGACTCAGCGCTGACTCATCCTCCCGGCTCCTCTCAAACCCGTCTCTTCTTCTTTCAGTACGGAGACATCTACAACTTCCCCGCCTACGCCTTCGACAAGGCTCTGGAGCAGCAGGACGCCGAGAGCGAGTCGGACTCTGAGGAGGAGGAGGAGGAGGACGACGAGGTGACGAAGGTGTCAGAGAGCCGCTGTGGGGCGACAGGAAGGAGTATTTTATTGTGAAAGGGTTTCCTGTGTGTGCAGGACGTGGGGCGGAGCGAGTTTGTGGCAGAAGAAGAGGTGGAGGAGAGCGACCTGAGCGACTTCGAGGTAAATCAAATATTTCCAGAGGTGCCAACCATTACGATCCCACTGTAACCATTACGATCCCACTGTAACCATTACGATCTCACCGTAACCATTACGATCCCACTGTAACCATTACGATCTCACCGTAACCATTACGATCCCACTGTAACCATTACGATCTCACCGTAACCATTACGATCTCACTGTAACCATTACGATACTGAGACCAGCTCTGAACCAGTACAACATACTGGACTTTTATTACGATCTGGACCTGTGCCGAGCTCCTGGGAAACCTCCTCCCGCTGCAGCAGCATTTTTCCACCTATGCAGTTTGGTTTGGCTCCACCCCACTCCGCACCCGTTTTTGGTCTTTCCGTTGTAGCTCCCAGCTGCACTCGGTCCACTTTTTCGGACCTCTTCTTGAGGTAGTCCTGAGGCCGGCACCGTTTGGGGCGTGGAGGTGCCGAAGCGTGTAGCAGTCGCGGCGCACTGGGAGAAGCTAAAAATCTATTGAGCCGGTTTTCAGAGCAGTGAAGGACCACAACAACAGCTGGAGGGTCTCAAAGCTGTGGGACTACAGCTGCTGTGGGTAAATGGAGGGGATCTCTCTCTACAGCCACCGGTTAGTTAGCTAGCTGCTGCTGCTAACTGCAGACGGTGAGAGCTTCGTGCGTTTAGTGAGATATTGAACATAATTTACGGGACACGTGTCGCTTGTGAAACTCTACCTTTTATTTATAAAGTTTGTTCCGATGTGTCCTGTGCGTGTTCGTTTCCGATGCTAACTAGTTAGCAGCTAGCAGCTATCGCTAGTTAGCGATCGAGGCTAAAAACACCCCAGGTTTACATTTATTGTAATTAGTAATTGATTTTGACCGTATTCAAGGCTAATCGTTGATTTTCTGTTCAGAGTTACCTTCAACAAGTGACCATTAACAGAATATGAGTATTATTTACAGACTAAATACCTGCTGCAGCAAACTGTCACTTATAAATGAAGTAAAACAAAACTAAAAGGATTTTCTAATAAATGAAATTACAGTTACTGCACACTTTATGCCCAGGAGTAAATATGTTGATTTTTTTCTTTATGGATTTAACTCGATGACAAACAAACAGCAGTGCCGATAGTGTCTTTATTTCACAAAATAAAAGTCAGACAATATAAACAGCAGGTACTTTTAAAAGACGTTACCACTCCAGACTCAGTAATGGAAAAGACTATTCATCTGTTTTTATTTTTAAAAGACAAATATAGTTTCCTCCTCATTCAGTTTAAATATTGTGACAAGAATTCATCTTCAGCTGTTGAGTCTGATTATACAGTGGGGAAAATAAGTATGTAGTCAGTCACCAATTGTGCAAGTTCTCCCACTTAAAAAGATGAGAGAGGCCTGTAATTGACATCATAGGTAGACCTCAACTATGAGAGACAAAATGTGAAAAAAAATTTGAGAAAATCATTTTGTCTGACTTTTAAAGAATTTTTTTGCAAATAATGGTGGAAAATAAGTATTTGGTCAGTCACCAATTGTGCAAATTCTCCAACTTAAAAAGATGAGAGAGGCCTGTAATTGACATCATAAGTAGACCTCAACTATGAGAGACAAAATGTGAAAAAAAATTTGAGAAAATCATTTTGTCTGACTTTTAAAGAATTTTTTTGCAAATAATGGTGGAAAATAAGTATTTAGTCAGTCACCAATTGTGCAAATTCTCCAACTTAAAAAGATGAGAGAGGCCTGTAATTGACATCATAGGTAGAC